ATATAATTGACTGTAAAAGTCTTCTATACTTGGTAATTGCGATTCGTTGAATTTATCAAATGAATTCATGTAGTCGTAGGGATAAACTCCTTTTTCAGATAATAAGTCTAAATCGGTTTTATTTCTAATATATGGATTTGCTGATGAAATCTAAAATTATTCTCCCAGTCATTCTGTTTTTTTTATATATAGGTTTATCATGCTCATCTTTACCTACTATGTCATATTTATTTAATTTAACTAATATATCTAAAGATGCTGAGAGAAAAGCCATGCTATCTTTAAACTGTAATGAGCCAAGTGAAAGTGTAATACACTTTTCGCTATTTTGTGCTATTACATCTATTCTCTTATTTTCGTTCAATTCCTGATTTGTTTCATTTGCTTTACCTATTATTAAGTGAGAGTCATAGTTTTTTTATTTATGAAAAAATACTGGTATCTTGAAATATCTAAATGAATAATCCAAATTACATTTTTCGTGAGCACAACCTCTATACATACCAGTAAAATGACAGTGGTCAAGAACTTTTTTATCTTCTGGTTTAAAATTCATATTACATATTGAACACACAGTAGCTTTTCTAAATTATGCTTCTTGTTCATCTGTCATATCCATTGGTTTATTAACACTCATTTTATCAAACATTTTTTTTTAATTTCTGTTAATTTATTTACAAAGTGGTCTAAACAATCCTCTCCACGGTATAAAAAAGGTTGGCTTGTATTATCAATATAATTTACAACATTCAACATGTAACCGCATGGTTTATGTTCCTGATGCGTGCCCTTGATGCCCTTATTTGAAGTTACAGTTATACACTCAACATCTCCATAAACAACAAATGGACATTTTAATTTTGTATTGTATTTTTCAAATTCAATATAACTACCTTCTTTTGGTAATTTAAATTGTTGTCCGTGTGTTGCCATACAACCAGTTTCATAATGTTTTGTTAATAAATCCTTTCTAGTAAAAGCATGAGAACAACAATGACAATAATGCTTTGGTTGGTCATTTTTGTTTGTTTGCCAGTTCATTAGACGACTTAGATTTTTAATAACAACATAGTGATGGTTATTTTCTGTTTCAATTTTCAAAAGGTTTATTTGATGTTTAGCATCTCTTGTTGTAGTCCTGTAATCAATTATATTTGTTTTCGTCATTCAAAGTATCATGAATTTCATAAACATTGATTGAAACTAACTTACTACTTTTTCTTCAAACCTTTCAATATCTTTATTACCAGTTGGAAATTTAACACCTTCCCAGTTTAAGATATTGTCATTCAATTTGTTGTAATGACAAGTATGTTCTGGGTGACCTTTACTAATCTTATCAAATACTACTGATTGAATACAATATTTGAAACATTTATTATCTCTATTTTGAATATTGATACATGCTTTCTTATGTTTAATCCAATCTGGCAAATCAATATAACTACCTGCCCTAGTAGGGTCATATTTGTCATAATGCATTGTGATTGATAATATCTTCATAAATTTTAAATTAGATGCTCAACCTTCTAACTTTTCTATGTTCAATAAAATCTCTTGGATTGATTTTTCAATTGCTTCATCCAAATCGGTTTCATTATATATGTTTGCCCTTGTAGTAGGTAAATTATAAAGTATCTCTGTATGTTTTAATACCCCTTCATCATCATAATAATGATAAAATAAACCTTCTGCCCTTATATTCAATTTCATAGCTCTATCTTTTAGGTAGTGTATCATTGATAATGCTTTTTCACCTTGAAAATGTTTATTTACTAGTTTTATAGAATTAGCATAACTTTTGAATGCTGATTGTTGGTCTGTTATTCTGATCTTTTTTTATAGCGTATTTTGTCATGGCATTTTTCATTCTTGTTTAAGGTATGTTGAGCGAATTGCTCTTGTAACATGACTATTATATTCATTGGTGTTTGCTACTGATTTGAATTTCTTGTTCGAAACATTCGAGATAGGTTTTTCTTTGTTGTATCTAAATTTTCTACCATCTATAATTATTGATTTTAATTCCTTATTTCCTCTTTTTGATATTTCCACTTTGTCATTATTTAGTAGATAATCTATAACATATTTCATAATACTATACTATATAATTTAATATATGTTTATTTCTTTAAGTCAATTTAAGTTATGAGTTCTTAACATATATACTTAAAGTCATATTATCATATATGAATAACTATGTTTTCAGAACTTGAGGCGATGAAAGAAACACCACATTTCTTAATTCTTGACTTTGTTTGTGACAATTATTTAATATCATTTAATGAAAGTAATGTCGTCTATAAACAGGGTATGTATGCTAGATATAGAAAGTGGTGTAGTAAGAATAACAGAGCATGTATAACCTTTGATAAGTTTGATGAAGAGATAATGAAGAATAATGAAGTTAAATGTTTTACTCATTTTGGCAAATATTATTCATAACATTTATTTGGTTAAGTGTTATATTTATTTTTTCTACTTAAAATCTACTTAAAGAAATAATGATTTAGTACATTAAGAGGAAAATGAGTGATACAGAAAGTGAATATAGTGAATATAGTGAATATAATGATACAGTCGGTGTCGATGCTAAACATATAATGAAACAAAAGTTTATCAGTTATACATGTATAGACTGTGAGATACTCAAATTACCAATTAAACAGGGTTTTATAGATGGTGTTAGTAATAATATTTGTCAATATATGATATGCTATAATTGCAATACCATTATAAACAAAATTGACGATATGAATAACGAAGGTATTGATACTAGAAATGCTGAAACTCTTGATGATGATTTAGACATATTTGTGTTTATTGAAATGAATAAGTTCTTGACCGAAGAAGAGTTTGATAATTTGTTATTTGAGGGCGATGAAGAAGGACATACTAATGATTTTATGTTTAAGTAGTATAGCATGGTAAAAAGATTATACAATATGTCTTTTAGCATTAAACGTTTAAAATATAAAGCATTGAATGTGACTTTGATTTTGTAAATGAGTTTTTAAATTATAAGTATAAAGCTCACGAACTTAGATATACAGTAACACGTGCAGTCGAAGTAATGGGGTGGTTTAGAAAATAAATAAGAAATAATATTTATAATGAAAACACAGTTGATAAAATAGTGAAACGAATTTAAAAAATAATGTTGAAATTAATCAGAAATAAAGTTAAACTCATAATATAATTATAACATGTACAATCTTATATGTTGTAATTATACTATACTTATGGTTTGTTTCTAAATTTTCTCAATGCTTTAAAAATGACATAAAGAAATAGTGCCTTAATATAATAAGAGGAAAATGAACTGTGATGAAATCAATAATTATATCAACAAGAGATGCTATTATTGTTGTCACTTCAAAAAGGAAAATATGGAATTGTACAAATTAAATTTACCTAATGGAATAATATTATTAACTATTCAATGGATGAAGAAGACGAATATGAAAATTGTATACATTGGAGAGATAATCAAACTTTAATCAAATGTGTGTTGGGAATAAAAAGAACACATAATAGAAATGTAGAAGATAATATTTTAATATTTCTAACTAGATATAAAATCCCACCTTACGATTATGTTAAACAGTTTCTTAAAATCAGTAAGAAAATATAAAATGATTGATGATATATTATGGATGTTGGGTTATCGTCAAAAGAAAGGAGAAGATGTTTAAAAAATATCAAATTATTTATTAAAAGTAAAAAGTTTAATGTTCAAAATACAGTGAGAGATATTAATATTATTTTTGAAATGATGTATGAAAGAAGTAAGATGTGTCCTTAAAAAGAGGAAAATGACACTGTTTAATTATAACAAGTGTCCTTGTACAAATAATAACTGTAAGTCTGTTATATCACTAGCAAAAAAATTACCTGTTTGTTTGTAATATTATTGGTGACCATAATAAAACGGATTGTTTTAAATGTCAGTTTTAAAAAAAAAGAGAGTCTCATAAAAGAACCATTTTTAAAAGATAAAAGATTAGAAAAAGCAGAGGCTCAGTAATTGTTCTTCAGAAGTATGTTTAACAAAGATATTACTCAACTGCATTTAAATCATCAAGATAACAAAAGTTATAAAAAAACAATAGATAAATTATTTGGTAAACAAGAGGTTAAAGAAAGATTTGTGAATAAGAAAAGTTATTATCAAGCAATGAAATCATACAGTAAAAATAACAGTCTTAAAGTTAAGAGCATTTTAGAATACTATATTAATATTAAGAAACTAAAACATATAAAGCATCATGGGTTATTCATACCAAATCTAAATAGTTGGTGGGAATATAGAAATCAAGATTATTATATGAGAAACATCTTAAGCGACTTAATTAAAATTTACACAGACCAATTAATAAAAGGATACGAGCATTATTGTTGTGAGTATAATATGAGTTGTTATAGTGGTTGTATCGCTGGTGAGATTAAATTTGGATAAAAAATAGAATAAAACTCTTTATGTATATTATGTTATTATTATATAAATTAACATTGTAAAATCGTTTATGTTGTAATTATACTATACTTATGGTTTGTAAAGATTGAATTATTTTAATTTTCCTTAATTTGCTTGACTCTTTCAAAGTGCGTTGTTTGAACTTGGCATGCTCTTTTGATTTGTTTCGTGCTTTGACTGTTTTGTATTTATTTTGTTTGATACTCTTCTTATATTTGTGGTTGTTATACTGCTTTGAAATTTGTTAGTGTGTGTTTTTGAGTTTGTGTTCTTTGATGGTTTTTAGTTTTGCTGTTTTGTTGGTATGCTTGTTGGAATTAATTACTGTTGTATGCTGTGATTAAATATTTTGTTGTGGGTTGTTCTGGTTTTTGAGTTGCTTGGTGGTTCTTATCTTGTTTTCTGTGAATTTTGCAGATTTATGTTTATGCTGTTTGATTATTTGGTTTTATGCATAAGAATGCCCTTTTTACTATTTTTTCACCCACCAGTCACCGAGTGGATTGTGAGCAACAAGCCAGACGGAGAACATGCACAGCTTCACTGCGCAACAGTACAAGCTCTGAGTTCAAAAGCTCCCCGCCTGAATTTCGGCGGGGTTCTGCGTGCCAACTCTGGAGAACCCGAAGCCACGGTCAAATGACTTGTTTTTTCCTTGGCCCGGGCCAGACAACTTCGCCTGCTGAGCCAACTTCACCTGCCAACAAGCCGGTCCCTGCCCACCAAAGTGGCGGAAAGGACAAAAAACCTGAGGGTTCGATCTCATGCTCGAGAAGCAGCAGGGAATGAGAAATGGAACCACCCCCCTCTAAACCATCCCGTGTGGCTTCCTTTCTTCGGGAAACCCCAAAAACCGGTTCAGTCGCAGCACCCGGAAGCTCATTCCTCTAGGGGACACTTCCCCATTCTTTCCAGGGATCCTTCTTTCCAGAAAACCATTAGCACCCCAGGGGAAACAGCGATCGGCTTTTGAAAAGAACCATGGTCGAAAAGAATGGGGAATCAACCCCGGGCGACCACCTTGTTTGCAGGATTTGTTTTTCCATGGGGGGGGCGGCAAAAAAAAAAGGCGGATGGCGGATGGCCTGCGGAGACCCCGAAGTCAAACATGGAGTTCCTGGGCAAAGAAGTTGCTGGGCATAGCTGGACCCGTGCGTTCGAACTTCGGCCTGCCCGGCGATTTGCTTAAAGGAGAGAACTCGCCACGCGCTTGGCTTCAAACCTCTTCGAGCGCATGCGAGCGCTAGGCTAACAAGTGACTCTGTCGGGTTACGTGCGCTCTCACGCGCTCAGCCGCTCGGCTGCTGGCCTGCTTTGCTTCTGCTGCATACGTTTCAGCTCTTTGCTCTGCGCCTTGCCCACAAGGCACGGAGAATCAGCTGGCAATAGCTCCGTCGATTCGGAACACCGATGCTCTTCAGCCGACTGCTTGCACCAAAGTCCTCGGGAGGGCTCTCAGAACTATGGGCAACCCTTGTGCTGTACAAAATCAGACTGCAACTCAGCATGCTTCCGAGCCTTCTTGAGGACGCCCTCGACCGATTTGACGGCGTTCATGCAAGAGCTTACGTCATCGCCCATATTTCGGGTAGAGAGCTTTGCAGCATCCAGAATTGCTCTGACACGGGCAATCCGGCTGAAGTCGCCTAAGCTCCAAGAGAGAGGCCCCACAACTGACTTGGGACCTGCCGGCTCGGAGAGCATACCCAGCATGAAGTCCTGCCGGCGGGTCTTTGTGATGTTGCAACTTGTGGCCAGCACTTGCTAACAGCCATGAGAGATGCAACCAGCTCCCGAGCAGACTCAAAGCTCACCAGAAGATTGTGCTCAGGATTGGCCAACCTGAGTGCATGCATGGCACTTGGGACAGCACTTCGTTTCAGAACCCTGCTAAAAAGATATCCTAACGTTTTTCCGAATGAAAGGCGTCAACCCATGTCAACCCAGGATTGTCTAGTCCTCTCAAAATGGGAGGCTGCTTTGCTTTGGAAGCCACGCAGGGGGCCACTTTCGCGACCTGAGGACAGATCTCAGCCCCAGGCTTCACCGTGCTACCCCGCGCAGCATTGACCTGCCGCCATGCCACCTGCGAGAAAAGTGGGCAGGACGTGTCTTCCAGCGGCAAAACGTGCGGCCTCCATGACCTGCAGAATGTTGTCCATGGCCTCCGAGGTCCTAGCGAAAAGAAACGGTTCAGCAAGGGACGGCCCTCCTTTGGTGTGGTCCGGGGAGGGTTCAGCAAGCCCCGCTTGCACGGGATGAAGAGGCTCAGTCTCGGCTGCTTTGGAACATATTCACGGCCCACGTTGCCCAGGCCTCAGCTGAATCAGCAAAGAACCGGCGCTCTGGCCAAACTCGGTTGCTTTCTGCTCCCCGGCTAAAAAATAACTCTGAGTGGATTAATGGACAACCCATTAGTTGGCAAAAAGTTAAAGTCCTAACATCCAAGCAAAATGCGCCAAAGAAAACTGTTTCTTGCTTCACCGCTTCTGGGCGAGGCACTGCTGGCACGAGCGCTGGAGCCACTCCGAGCCACCATGGCAGCGCAGGGCGCATGGGCCCCAGCCAGCGTAGCGCCGCATCACGGCAGGCAGTGCGCGACTAAGGTCACCGAAGCCAAAAATATGTTTCCCTGGAGCGGGTTGCTGTGATCGCTTTCATAACATGCCGGCATGCTTCTTGCGGCATGCGTCCTTTGTGCCTAGAGCTGTCTGCCTCTGCTAAGAGCCCAAGCTGAGCCCAGTGGCACACCACGCATTTTCTCACAGTGACGGGATGGCACCAAGCATGAAATAAACGTATTGCCCCGGGGGCGGCCAAGAGACTACTGAACAGAGCAGTGAAACAAGTGCTCTTCTGCTGAATGCACCCTAGCGATCACCCGCTCGCCCTCGCCAAATCTAAGCCGCGCTTGCTTCCGCGTCCGTTCGGCATTGCGCAATTGTTTATCAAGTCCTCAGCCCACCTGCTTCAGAGCGCTAGTGCAGCTTTGCGCACGGGCCTGCCAAAGGACAACCCGCTTCAGATTGCCCGCCTAGGACGACATTTTGCGTGCCCGCAAGCTCGTTCTTTG